GCGGGTGGGGGGGGGGGGGGTGGGGAGGGGGTGATTGTTGACCGGGACAACGACGGCGGCGAAAACTTGTAGCGGAGGACGTCCCGAGGCGCCGGACGGTCAGAGTTTCGGACACCGGGAGAGAGAGAGAGAGAGAGAGAGAGAGAGAGAGAGAGGGATCATCCTAATAGTAATCCTTGCACTGGATAGGGCGCCGGGTCACGTCTCCGAGGCGTCTCGAAGCGCTTCGCGGGATACGCCGTACGAGGGGGTTGACCGTACGCTTTGTGGGAGAAACTGCCTTCTCCTTTCCGACGGTCCGCCCCCGGACGGACGGGGTGGTGGGGGGGAGAGGGCGTGAGGTTCACTTAGTGTCTCCACCGCAGTTTCGCCCACAAAACAACGTCCGTTTTCAGAGGCCGCCGTTCCTTCGGGTGAAACGCGAGACCGGGTCTGCGTCTGTTCACGTGGGTGTGAAGGATCCGCGGCCCCTATTCGAGGCGGAGGAGGGGGTTGTTCCTGGTGTCCTGGACAAGAATCCCACTGGACACCGTTTCCGGCCACGCGGCTATTTGTGGGTCATCGCTGTCCCGCACTTGACAGCAAATGCCGATAAGGTCCCGAAGTGTATCGGTCAGAGCGCTCTCCGCGCTTTGGAACCCCCTCCCCAAAAGGGTTTGGGTCGTGCGATTGGGGCCACGACTGTTTGCGGGACTCCGATCCGCGCCGCGTTTACGCCCACAATATAGAGTCAATTCACTGCGCCGTCCGTTCCGTGAAGCGCTTTGAGGTTTCTCGACCACGTGATGAGGCGCTGTGTCAAATGCGAGGATTACTATCCTCCAAAAAACGAAACAACAATAATAAATGGGTCATTTTCAATCTACGACACTTTGTGGGACATTGCTGTGCGCAATCGGCCGCCGCGTTCGCCCACAAATATACGGTCAATTCGCTTTACAGTGCGTTCTGTGAAGCGCTTTGGGACGTCCTCCCGACGTGAAAAGCTCTATATCAAATGCAAGGATTATTATTATTATTATTACTACCACTATTGTGCTTACGAAACACTTGGAAGACGTCGGAAAAATCGTAGGCACCGAACCAAAGGCAGAGATTATTACCGTATTATAATATTCCGGTGTGCGGGTCGTTAAGAACATCCATTAAGCCCTTTAATTACATCAGAGGGCATTTTGAGAGAAAAACAGATTAAATCTGTCTGTCAACGGAGGGGAATCAAAGATCCAAAACATCTTTTAAAGGGAAGGGATCCTCTTGACATCTGTGCTCTAAAGTAAAGGGCAATTTGTGCTTTATTTTAAGGAGTTTTACCATTATAATTATCCTTATTTAAGGGCGTTGCGCGGACGTAGAATTTAACTGAGGACTTGGCTGGACCTTTGACTGCAAGATACAAAGTCACTGCACTTCGCCGCGAAGCACTTGGAGACGTTCCGCCGACACCAAAACGGCGCGATACCCATCGCAACAATCCTTCCCGTCGATAAGAGCGCCGTATCACGTCGTCGAGACGTCTCAAAGCGCTGCGCAGGATATGCCACCAAGTGGGCACTTTGTGGGTGAAACGTGGCGGCGTCCCACGGACAGTGGTGGGTTGGGTGACCCCAATTATGATTACTTTTCGGTGGCGTTATTACCCCCTCCGGAAACTGGTCTGCGAATCGTCTTAACAACTGGGGGTCACTGCCGGGTATAAACGGAGGCGCGCGCGCCCGCGTCTGACTCAGAGGCGAGAGACCCGCGCACCGAGTCACAGATTGACGCACCTCTCGGCTCGTGCTTCCTCCCATCCCCGTGAGGGCAAAGTTTCCTCGCTCCGCGCACACGGCTCAATGACCCGTTAAGGCGCTATATCAAACCCCAGGCATTATTATTACCGTTTTTATTATGGTCGAAACCAGCTCTCGTCTACCTGCTGGACTAGTGCGCGTGTGTGCGCGGGCGCGCGTGCGTGCATGTGTGCGTGCGTGCAAGAGAATGTGTATATGAGTGTGTGTGAGTGTGTGTGTGGAGAGCGGGACTAGCGACCCCCCCCACCGCACCCCCTCCTCCCCTTGTGTAATGCCTTGCGCTTGAGTCGAGGTCCCGGACGGCTCTGTCGACCGCGGGAAGGAGGATGTGTTGTGGCACAGACCGCGGCCAAACCGGTTCCTCAAACGCATTCAAACGCGGGCCGGCGTTTCACGCAACCTCAGGCTCTCTCTCGTCCGTTCAGGGAATGGATCCACCACCCCCCCACCCCCTTTCCCCTCTACCCCCTCCCCTCGCTCGTCAGGGTGAGACGTGTGCCCAGCAGTAAGGCGGACGGATCAGTTTTTCGTTCAGAAAAAACAATAACAATAATAAATCGGTCACTCGATCCACGGCTGTTTGTGTGTGCAATCGATTCACTTGACGGTGTATCCTGTGAAGCGCTTTCGGGCGTCTCGAAGTCTTCGACGCCTCCCGGGAACTTACAGTCACGTCAGTCTTAAGTTGACGCGGTTCGAAAACAGAAGGGAGTTACTCTCCTCTCTCCCTCTCTTTCCCTCTCCCTCTCTCTCTCTCTCTCCCGGTGTCCCGGCCAACAATCTCCCGAATGAAATCGCCGCTCGCTGAACATCAAGGCTGTTTGTGGGAAGTTTGCTGCGCGCAATTCTGCTGCCGTGTGGGCTTAAATAATGCACAAAGGTCACTCCGATCCGCGATTAAATCCGGGGAAAGCGCTCCGAGCCGCGAACAAGGCACGAGGCCAAAGCCGAGAAACGTGATGACATTAATACTGTTGTTGAGTCGACTAAGATCCCTGCACTCAGCCGCCCTTTCCTGTTATGATCAATATTATTATTTCTCCGAACCAGACTGCGGGTTCCACCCACGGATGTCACCTCCGCGCCGAAATTCCCGCGTCTGGAACGGAACGCACACTCTCTCTCTCTCTCTCTCTCTCTCCCCGGAGCGACTCACTCCGCTCACCTAATTCCGTGGGGGAGCATTAGGTGTCGTCCCGTTCGGGCAATGTTTAATCCGGGAATTCGAACTACTACGGCGCGCTTCGCGCCACGCGCCGAGGTTCCAAGCTACGCCCCTCACAGACACGCGCGCGCGCGCACCCTCACGGAGACACACACGCGCACACACCCTCACGGAGACCCTCACCGAGTTCGATTCCCGGCAGAGGGCGAAATCTTGGGCAAGTTTCCTTACTCCACACAGAGCCCTAATAATATTCCCTCCAAAAAAAAACAATAAAAAATTGGTCATTTTCAATCTACGACACTTTGTGGGACATTGCTGTGCGCAATCGGCCGCCGCGTTCGCCCACAAATATACGGTCACTTCGTTTTACAGTGTGTTCTGTGAAGCGCTTTAGGACGTCCTCCCGACCGACGTGAAAAGCGCTATATCAAATGCGAGGATTATTATTATTATTATTATTATTGCTGCGCGCGATCGGCCGCCGCGTTCGCCCACAAACACACGGTCAATCCACTCGACAGTGTGTTCTGTGAAGCGCTTTGGGACGTCCTCCCGACGTGAAAAGCGCTATATCTCAACGCCAGGATTATTATTATGATTATTATTATTATTATTATTACCCACACGGAGCCGCAGAGAGCGACGGTGACGTTTATTTTCCAGTCCTGCCTCTGCTGACTGCACATGCTCACTGCAGCAGTGTGGACAAGCGTTCAGATCTCACCGCGGAGCTGTCAGCGAGAAGCATCGGGAGAGAGAGAGAGAGAGAGAGAGAGAGAGAACACAGCTGATCACAGACTGACGGACGACATTTCGGACAGAGTAGAGACCTCGTGAGAACGTGGGGTGGGAGAGAGAGAGAGAGGAGAGGAGAGGAGAGGAGAGGAGAGAGGAGTGAGTGAGTGAGATTCGTTCTCTCTCTCCGGCGAGAAAAAAAGAAACCCCCCCCCCCCCCCAGCCCCCAAAACTTTTTTTTTTGGGGGGTCTCACTTCAACGCTCTCCAAAAAAAAACAGCCGGAGCTTTTTAACAGAAAGAAAGCGGCACTGAATTGATCAGAAGGAGGCGGAGGAGGAGGAGGAGGAGGAGGAGGAGAAGATTCGGTGAGTTTTAATCACATTTTTTTTCGTGGGGGTTAACTATCCCTTTACTCGTGGAGTTGCCCCGTGAATCTGAACAGCTGTAGGGAGAGGAAAGAGAGAGAGAGAGAGAGAGAGAGTCAATTCTTATTTTAAATCCTCTTACTCTCTCTCTCACTCTCTCACTACTCGCTCGTTCTTCCTACAATATATAGTTTGGGACACGACAGGTCAAACGACCGGCGGAATGGTTGGCGGAAGGCAAATTGGATGGGAACTTGGTTCTTCTGTCCTAAAGTCTCACGGTCTCTGTTCATACTCTCTGTGTGTGTGTGTGTGTGTGTCTCTCTCTCTCTCCGTCTTTTTCTGTGTGTGCGTCTCTCTCTCTCTCTGTGTGTGTCTCACTCTCTCTCTCTCCCTCTGTGTGTGTGTCTCTCTCTCTCTCTCTCTCTCTCTGTGTGTGTGTGTCTCTCTCTCTCCCTCTCTGTGTGTGTGTGTCTCTCTCCCTCCCTCTCTCTCTCTCTCTCTGTCTGTGTGTGTCTCTGTTATCTCCGCCGAGTTGCGATCATCAGGCGAGTCAGCTTTCAGAGATAAAAATATACCTTAAAGAGCTTGCAAACCAAAACCCGCACCCCCCCTCCCTCTACCCCCTACCCCCCCTTTGCCTGTCGAATGGCTCTGTGCGATTAGCTTACAAGGACTTTGTCAAGAACTTCCAGACCTGGAGTCGAGCCAACCCCGAGATTGGGAGGGAGGGAGCGAGTGAATGTACACGAGTGCTTGGATTATTATTATTATTATTATCATTATTATACAAGATATTTGTTCAGTGAGAAACGCCAACGCCGCGCGCGATCTACGACCGCCACGGTACGGTAATCCTTCGAGGCAGCGGCGGACGGACCGCGACGTCTCCGAGCGCTTCGCGGGATACACCGCGCAGAGTGCGGTGACCGTGTACTTTGCGGGCGAAAGGCGGCAGGAAGCCCATTGCAATGCCCCGCAAACAGCCACGGAGTGAGTGACCCGTTTTTTGGGGGGGATTGTTGGCCGGGACACCAGGAGAGAGAGAGAGGGAGAGAGAGAGAGAGAGCTTGCACTGAGCCAGGCTGACACACGCACACGCACACACACACGTATGTTTAAGAGAGAGAGAGATAGACAGAGACTCGGGTAATGTGGAGGCGGCGTTAAGGGCGAATGGGGAAATACAATATTATATTGTATTATATAAATACACATTAACCCACGACGAATTGCGTTGATAACGGCGCCGCTCACGGGGGGAGCGTTGGGTGACCGGGAGAAGGGGGAGGTGGCCATAGGAGAGGTCGAAGAGGCAGCTCAGGGTTTGGGCTAATACAAACAGGAATAGGCTAGTCAGCCGCTCATGGCTGTTCCGCCATCTTATGGCTGATGTGTCCCTCAATTCCAGTTGCCCGCCTTTGCCCCATATCCCTTAATACCCCGACCTAACGAACACCCATCCACCTCCACCTTGAACACCCAAATGGGGTCCCGGAGGACCGTGGTTAGAACGTTCGCCGGAATGGCCTCGCGCAGAGACAGACCCGGGTTCGATTCCCGGTCAGGGCAACGTTTCGTCACTCCACTCGCATCTGTTTCGTAAGCGAAACCCCCTCGACCCCCATCAACCCCCGTCAACCCCCTCGGAAAGCGTAGGATCGCTTTCCGAGGGGGTTGATAACCCCTCCAAATAAAACGAACGACAATAATAATTGGGTCACTTCAATCAACGACTTGGCTGTGTGGGGGGGACGGGGGGGGGGGACGCTGCTGTGCGCCGTCGGCTGCCGCGGTTCACCCACGAAATACACGGTCGCTACACTTCACAGCATATTTCGTGAAGCGCTTTGGGACGCCTCGACCACTCTATCAAACGCGAGGGTTATTAATTGGGATTATTGTTATGCTGAAAGGCGGTCGGGAGGACGGCAAAAGCACCCGAAACGGGCGGGAAAAACCGGGATTAAAAACGAGCGGCCGCCCTCCGGCAAACGCTTGAGAACAGGCCGGGTGGGCTGAATGCTCCCCTTCCTTGCCCGGTTTCAATCTAATCCGCGGGAGAGGCAATGGGAGACGGCTGATCGGTGGGCGAGGCTGAGGGTCGGTCGGGTGGGGGTCGGGGGGGGGGGATTGGGGTGGGGGAGACTGCAACGGGGCGACCGGCAGCATCTATTTTGGACGCGGAGAGCGCTTTTTTGGAAGCTGCAATTTACTCGGAGAGGTCTGTGAAATCTATAATTTGGTTTGACAGTGAGCGTGGAGTCTGCCCATCTGGGAATGCAATGGTTAGTAGCTGTGAAGGGCGGGCGGGCGGGGCGGGGGGGGGCGGGGGTGGCGCGAGGGGGAGGGGAGGGCGGTGGGGAAAGACTCCACTGAGAGCTTTCTGGCTGAGACGGAAGCTTTCATTGGCAATAGCAGTCGGTTTGGGAGTTAAGTTAACCCACTGAAGGCTGCGTACGTCGCAGGGAAAAAAAAGGGCATTAATCTCACGACAGGAGCTCAGCGGTTGCACAACTGACTGCCACGTTCAAACCTACAAAAGCACACAGTCACTCCACCCACACTTTGCAGCGCAATCCCAGCGAAGCGCTGTGGGACGCCTGGCGGGCGCGATCAGGCGCCGTGTCGAATGCATCCAAGGAATGCATTCAACCAAGGAATTCTCCTCGCCCTCGCCCTCGCCGCGGCTCCTTATCGCGCCGTCGAGGCGTCCCGCGGCGCCCGCGCGGGGTTTTCCACCGCAAAGGGCACCGTAGTGACTGCGCGGGGCTTGACGGACGCGGCCAATTTACGTACAGCCACGTCCCACGCGCACAGCCATCGTGGAGTGAGTGAGTCCCCGGGGGGGTGTCGGGGGGGGGGGGATTGTCTGCCAGGATACCGGGAGAGAGAGAGAGTCCCTTCTCTTTTCCAACAGCGTCGAGGGGAGATCTTTAACGTCATCTCACCCGAAGGACAGCGGTGCTCTCTCTCTCTCCCGGGTAACCTGATCCCCTCCCCTCTCCCCTCCCCGCTCTCTCTCAGCCTCTGGACGCCTTCCTGCGGTATTCCGACAGCTGTTTTCACTCAGAAAGAGTTTCCAAACCCTGTTAACTGGGTCCCCGTAAAGTGCAAACCAGGGTAACGAGGAACACATGGAGAGGCGGACGTGCACCAGTTGCGGTCGCAGAGCGATGCAAAATCCCGGCTCCGCAGTCACCAGACGTCTTCGAGACGCCTCAAAGCGCTCCACGGGCTGCAAGGTTGTCCTCGTTGGGGAGGACAGGTTTGCGGGGCTATGGGGGGGGGGGGGGGGGGAGAGAGAGAGAGAGAGAGAGAGAGAGAGAGAGAGCGCGGGGGAGTGGGATTGATTTGGACGGCTGTTTTCGAAGAGCTGGGCCAGACACGATGGGCCGAATGGCCTCCTCCCGCACCGTATAATTCCACGACTCTCGTGATGTACCGCAAAGACGGCACATTTTGTGGGCGAAACGTAACAGCGATTAGCAACGAGTAATTATTATTATTATCGCCTTCTTTCGTTCGCACCAGCAACACCTCGGTGATCTCACCATCTTCCGTCCTCTAATATTTTCTTTTGTCTGTCGTCCCCCCCCCACCCCCACCCCCACCCTTTCTCTGCTTGTCCTTGTCGAGTCGGGCAAAGACCTACAAGTGGAAATCCCAGAGATAGATAGATTGTCGGAATGGAATGCACACACTCGCACTCTCTCTCTCTCTCTCTATCCTCCCGGAGGGACTAATCCTGGAAAGTATTAGGTGCAGGTTGGTGCGAGCCAAGGCTTGGGTGGGTGGGAGGGTGCTGGGGCTGGGGGTGGGTGGGTCTGGGGGTGGGTGGGTGGGGGGGTGGCAGAGTGTGCGTTGGGGGTAACTGCTGAAGCCCTCCCGCTGCTTGTCCAGCAGGTCACCGTTGCGGGAGACCCGTATCCTCGCGGGTAGGACAAGCGAGAGGACCTGGGTCCCATTCCCGGGCAGGGCCAAACGCTGGGCAAGTTTCCTTAACACCACGCACGCAACACGCACACGCACACGCCCACGCGCACACGCCTCTGTTTACTTAGCAGTAGGTAGGAACCCGTTGGGGCTTTGGCTCGAGGGGTTACTCTCCAGATTGCCAGAGAGGGGCCGGGGCTCTTCAATGAGTCACGTAATACTTCGGTCTTGAGTCACGCTGCGCCCAGCCCAGCCCGGCCCAGCCCGGCCCGGGCAGAGACTACAACACACGCAGACACTATAAATTGGCAGGATAAATTTAGTCGGCTGTGATGGAGATACCAGGAATATCTTCCCGATAACAGTGTAAGGAGAGATTCCGGGCAGGCACTGCTGGATTCTGTACAGACCAGTCCGAGCCAACCTCTCACAGCTCAACACGCGATATCACGGGTGCGGGGGGGGGGGTGGGGGGGGTGGAGGGTGGGGGGAAGCAATGTAACAGCTGCTGCGTTTAGTTACAACTCTCGATCCGTTAGTATCTGAGCTCTGTGCGGTTATGTGTGATGGGTCTGCGTGTGCGCGGGTCGGGCTGGCTCAGTCGACTCCGTGTCACAGTGTGTCGCTGGGGGTGGGGGTGGGTGGGGTGGGGTGGGGTTTCCTTAACTCCACACACACACACACGCCCGCCCACGCGCGCACACACGCACACGCCTCTGTTTACTTAGCAGTAGGTAGGAACCCGGTTGTTAGTCGATTGGCGGGTGGCCTTCCCGAGATTAATCACTCGTTCCACGGCCGTTTGTGGGGGACGTCGCTGGGCGCCAACGGGGCTGCCGCGTTTCGCCCACAAAATACACAGTCGCTGGCGCTTTACCGCGTACCCTGCGAAGCGCTTTGAGACGCCTCGAAGACGTGATAAGGCGCTGTGACAAATGCGAGGATTATTATTATAATAATAATAATAAGACTCCGACGGCGCAGGAGGCGGCCATTGGGCTCATCGTGCCTGTGATGGCTCTTTGAAGGGCTATCCAACTTGTCCCCCTTGCCCCAGCTCTTACCCCATAGCCCTGAACATTTTTCCTTTGATAGACCTATCCAATTCCCCTATCCAATTGCAGGCCGAGCCTCCCCGTCCAACGATCACCCCAGGGAGAGGCAAATGGTCTGAATACTGATGAGAGACGCTGAATCTCACGCCGGTGTGCGACCAGACCTCCCTGCGTCAGGGAGGGGCAGCTCCTGACTGACACAGAGACAGGCCGTCGCTAACACAGGCACAGGAGGAGGCCATTCAGCCCCCCCACCCAGCCAGTTCCATCGACTTATTGGATCTCAGCGGACCTTCTAATCGTCCCACCGCACTTGCCCTTTCGACACACCCGCCCGAACACCTCTTCCATCACCTCTGGGTGTGTGTGTGGGTCTATTAAACTTCCCTATTGCTCTGTCTATGAGTCGCCAACCTGTGTGAACGGCCCTGTAGCTCAGCGAGAGGACCCGGGTTTGATTCCCGAGCAGCGCAAAACCTTCGGCAAGTTTCCTTACTCCACGCGCGAGCACACACGCACACACTCGCCTCCGATTACCCCGCAGTAAGTAGGAACCCAGTCGCTTTCTCGGGGGTAATAACCTCTTCAAAAAAAAAAATGACCGTTCAATCCACGACTGCTTGTGGGACGCTGCTGTGCGCGTTTCACTCCACTTTACAGTGTGTCCTGTGGAGCCCTTTGAGACGTCTCAACGCCGTGACATCAAACACAAGGATTATTATTATTATTATTATTATCTTTAACGTCCACTTGACTAGGAGTGAGGTTTCACGTCTCGCCCGAAGTTGGACAGTCTTCCTTTTCCCGAACAAGCGTCAGGGTAAAATGTGAGCTCAAAGTCCCCGATGCGGGGCTCAAACCCACAACCTTTCCGACTGGGTTGGGGGGGGGGGGTCTGATGTTCGATGGTCGCGGGGCTCGGCCTCGGGTAAGGGCAGTGAAAGGAGAGAACGAGCTATTTGTGTCCCATTTGCTGAACACACAACATACCCGGCAGCTCGTTGCGGGGCGGGGAGGGGAGGGGATGGGAGGGGAGGGGTTGTATGTTCCTGTTAGATTCCCCAAGGCTGGAAATACTCATCGGAAATTCCGCCCCGAAGTTCAATGGGGCCAAGTCGCAGAGCAGCCGAGCTTAAGGTTTGACGGTGAGAATTGTAACCGGGATCCAACACGATTTGGTGGGCAATGGCTTCTTCTCCTCCCTCCCCCTCTCTCTCTCTCCGTTATCTTGTTCACCCCCTTCCTCTCGCCCCCCCCCAACCCCCACCTCCCTCCCCCTCTCTCTGTTGCCTCAATCTCTCCTCCCTCCCTTTCCCCATCTCCTACTCTCCAACACTAACCTCCCTATTCTCTCCTGACCTAAACCAACCATCACCACATCCCCTCCAGAACGGTCTCCCCAGGGTACCGGTCCCCGATGTACATGTGGGTTGGGGGGGCAGAGGGGGGGGGGTGTTCTTGTTGAAGTTCCCAGTGACCTGTTAACACTCGGCCACTACTCACACGGTTTTCTATTCCCGAACAAGGAGAGAACAGAGAGAGAGAGACGGAGAGGGCACGAGGACACCGACATCATGTCTGTACAGTACTCCGAGGGGCCGGGAGTGGAGGCAACTAATAACAGCTTCTGGATGGTGAGTCCCTGTAGCTCAGGGGTTAGAGCCCTCGAGAGGACCCGGGTTCGATTCCCGGACGGGTCAAAGCAAAACCTTAGGCAAGTTTCCTTACTCCGCACTCACACACACTCACACTCACACACCTGTTTACCAGCAGTCAGCAGGAACCCAGTTATTAAGTTGATTAAGTCGGGGCGGGCGGTGGGGAGTGGGGGGTAATAATGCCTTCAATAAAGACATAATAAATAATAATTAGAATGACTTGCTCGCTCCGCACTGCTGTGCGCAATTGGCTGCCGCGTTTCGTCCACAAAATATACAGTAAATCCTACTTTACGGCACATTCTGCGAAGCGCTTTGAGACGATCCAAAGGCATCAAATGCAAGGATGATGATGATGATGATGATGATGGTTATCAAACGCACGTGCCTTGCTCTCCCCAGCCAGGTAACTACAAGAGCACATCGAAACGCACGGACGAGGGCTACAAAGTCTGCAACGACATCATCGCCTGCTTCAAGGAGAGAGCCAAGATCGAGCGGCAGTACGCCTCGCAGATCTCAGCCTGGTCACGCAAGTGGAAGCCATTGGTGGAAGCAAGTGAGTGGTGGCCTTCGGTCAGGTTCCCACTACCATCTCCTCACACACACCCCACCCCACACCCCCCCCCCAACTAGGCGCAGGTTGGTAAGAGCCAGGGCTTGAGGGGTGGGGTGGTGGGGGGATGGGGGGGGCGCTGGTTGGGTCTAACCAGCTAAAAACCCCACACGTAGCTTGGCCATTGGGGACGGGCGACCATCTGAGGTTCGGGTGACTTGTGGGGCTGTGTACACGAGCGCGAGCGTTCATGTGTGCGTACGTGCCCCCACCCCCCCCTCCTCCTCCTCCTCACCGCAGGTCCGATGTACGGCACGCTGCTGAAGGCCTGGCACGCCTTCCTGACGTCGGCGGACAGGCTGAGCGAGCTGCACGTGGAGATGCAGAGGTCGCTGGTGAGCGAGGACGCCGAGAGGATCCGGGGCTGGCAGAAGGAGACCTACCACAAGAAGTTCTTCGGGGGCTTCAAGGAGACACGGGAGGTGAACGAGGGCTTCCGCAAGGCGCAGAAACCCTGGACCAAGAAACTCAACAAGGTCCGTCACAGCCGCTACACCTGGCCGCGGGCACAACACACACAGTCACTGCACTTTGCAGGACGTTCTGCGAAGCGCTTCGAGACCGCCCAACGACGCGATATAAAATAGCGAGGAATATAATATATATATATACATACGTACGGTAAAAGCGTTGCGAGAAATCCTCGCGACGTGAAATCCGCTGTGGCAATCGTAAGGTACGGTACAATAATAATAATTATTATTATTGCGATGGATTTAAATCACTCATTTGTCTCTAAGTGTTTTTTTTTTCTAGTGACGGTTATCCAGATCACATAACACTGCCACACTGCGATGCGCATGGATGTAACTTTTCTTCTGCGTGTCTGAGCTTCCTCAGATAGCTTCCCTTCCGGAGGAGCTTGATATTTTGTTCACCAGCTGCGTTGCCCCGAGCCATTTCGGAATAGGTTTGATAAACCTCCTTCGATGGTTGCGTTGCTTCTACGCTGCCGCCATCAATTTGTGGAGCGATAGATTTCCAACGGAATTGGTCACTCAACCCACGACGGTTTGCGTTGGGGGGGGGGGGGGTGGGAGGGAGACGCTGCTGTACGCGATCGGCCGCCGCGTTTCCGCCCACAAAATACACAGTCCCTCCACTTGGCAGTCTATTCTGCGAAGCGCTTTGAAGCCTCTCGATGAGGCTCTGTGTCAAGGGCAGGTTTTGCCACTCGACCTGTAGTTGGATAGATTTTTCCTGATCTTTTCTGGTTCCTCGTTCCTCACCTTGCGATCGCTTGGGATTCCCACATCGATTAACGCTGGGGATCCGTTTGGTTCTTGATGGTGATATCTGGTCTGCTGCACGATCAACATCTATCGGATTATTATTCGCTTCGCGGGGGGCAGCCTGTGAAGCGCCGTGAGACGTCTCGAAAGCGCGATGAGGTCCTGGGTCGAGGGCGGGGATTGTTAGCTTCATGGTGCCGACGGTGAGAATTATTCTCTGCCTTTTCTGTCCGTGCCCAGGTGGGAAAGATGAAGAAACTGTACCACACCGCACGGAAAAAGGAGCGAGTGGCTATCATCCGGGAAACCAACAGCAAAGGGAACCAGCCCTCGTCCCCCTCCAAACAGCAGAAGCTTCAGACGGCTCGGGAGAAAACCAAACAGGAGGTAGAGAAGGTCAGGCCTTCAGGAGAGGTGACTTACAATAGCTTCACCCACAAAACACACAGTCACTCCACTTTATAGTCTACGCTGTGAGGCGTTTTGAGACGTCTCGGAGACTTGATGAGGCGCTGTATCAAATGCAAGGGTTGTTGTTATTGGAGCGGGTACCGGTTAGGATAGGTACAGGGCATTGGAGAGGTACTTAAACGGGTACAACAACAACAACTTGCATTTATTTAGATCGCCCCGTTTACCCCGGGTTGCGACCCGGAGTGTTTCAGGCTGGAGGAGTCTGACGACGAGCCAGGTACGTACCTGATGGGATAAGTAAAGGGAATTGGACAGGTAACTCAAAAGGAAAGGCTATGCGAGGGTAAGAGCGGGGTGGGAGACGGGGGGGGGAGGGGGGGGGGAGATTAGTTGGTGGCTCTCTCAAAGAGAGATGGGCCGAATGGCCTCCTTCTGTGCTGTAGGATTCCGCGACTTGTCCCACAAAACATAGTCAGTTCACTTTACGGTATATCATGAGACGTCTCGAAGACGTGATAAGACGCCGTATCAAATGCAAAGATTATTATAAATAGGTCGTGCAGGATTCCCATTCCCTCTCTCTTCCCACTCACATTCTCTCCCTCCCTCTCCCCTCTCTTACCACCCTATCCCTCTCCCACCGCCCTATCCCTCTCCCCCCTCTCTCTCACCTCCTCTCCCCTCTTCCCTCTCTCACCTCCCTATCCCTCTCCCCTCCCTCGCCCTCTCTCTCCCTCCCCCACCCCTCGCCCTCCCCGGCTGCAGGTTAAGCAACGTTACGAGAAGACCACCGAGGACCTGAACAAATACAACGCCAAGTACATGGAGGAGATGGAGACCGTGTTCGACCAGAGTCAGCAACTGGAGCAGCGTCGCATCAGCTTCCTCAAGCAGATCTTCCTGTCTTTCCACAGACACCTCGACGTCACCAACAATGAGAGGTACCCACCCCACCACCTCACAGCCTCACACCCACCTCTACCTCCCGCTCCTACCTCGCCCCACCCTCTCCCCCTTCCCCTTCCCCTCTTCCCCAACAACACAATAACACTTCCATCAGACACAGCGCCTAATCGCATCGTTGAGACGTCTCAAAGCGCTTCGCGGGATACACTGCGGCCAACAACGTTTCGCCCAACGTTTCGCCCAGGAATCGAACCCGGGTCCTCTCGCTTGCGAGGCGGGAGCTCTGACGCTCTGAGCTCCAGGGACTCCGCACCGCGGGTAGAATAGAACCATTGTCAACCTCGAGCTCCGTGTGCCAGACTGAGGTTGTCACACGAGACGCCTGAGAAACAATGTCAAGTGTAACCCGAGTCGAACCCCGGGTCCTCTCGCTTGTTTGCGCGCTAACCACTAAGCCAACAGGGCTCCGCGTCGCGTGTCACATTTGTGTTACCCAATTCCCCTCTCCCACCCCCCCACTCCGCACCCCTCTCCCCCCCCCACCCTCCGCAGTTTCCGTACTATATTCCAGGACCTGCACCAGACGATTCTAGCGGTGAACGATCAGAACGACCTGAGGTGGTGGAGGAACACACAGGGGCCTGGGATGCCTATGAACTGGCCACAGTTTGAGGTGAGTTTCGGGGTACACCCCCCTCCTCCTCCCCCCCCCCCACTCACTCCCGTCCTGCCCTTACGTATCAAACTAAACTGTAAAGGTTATTTATAACCTAACGTCAGCTTGTGGTATCCGTTGGACATCAAATGCCAGCAAACAACAACAACAGATGACATTTGCACCCCACCCCACTACCTCCGCTCGTCCCCCCCCCCCCCCCCCCCCCGCCCGAAACTCTGGGCCACTCTCCCGCTACCCCTCCGCTTTGCCCCACCCCCCCCGTCCTGCCCCATTCTCACGTCGCGCCCGAAGTCGACGCGGTTACGTTCTGTTCCCCGCTCTTCGTCGCTCGCAGGAATGGAGCCCGGACAGAGAGAAAATCACGGGGAAAAAGAAGCCGGGGAAAAAAGGCGGAGACAAAGTGGTTCTTCAAAGCTTAAGGTAAAACGTTTGGCGTTAAAACCCGCGGCAGATGACGTTGCGCACGGCGCCTTTTACGGAGGGAGGATGTCCCAAGGAGCTGGACCCGGGATTTGGACCTGAGCTGGGGGTGGGGGTGGGGGGAAATCGGGGAGGTGGTAGAGTGGGGGGTAGGGGGTAGGGGAGGAGGTTGGGGGCACAGTTCTGCCACAGAGAGGTCACGCAAGAATAATAATAATAATCTTTACATTCGAAACAGCGCCTCTCACGTCTAGGAGCACGGCTCAGAGCGCTTCGCAGGTTTTACCGTGAAGTGTAGTGACTGACCGATGGGAGTCGCGGGCAACACAGCCCCCGCACCCCACCCCCCCACGGCCCCCCGGGCCCCCACTCCCCCAGCGTTGCACTGGAGAGTTGACTGACAAGTGGAGGGCACAACACCAGCCGCCTCCGCCAGTAAACACTCATCAACACGAGCTGTAACTGATGCCTCCAGTCCTCCCCCACCCCCCAACTCGCAGCCCAATAACACAGCTGTCACTGGCTCCGACACGCTCTCCCGCAGCCCCCCCCCTCAACCTCCCGCCACTCCTCCCCTCTCCCTCTCCCCCACCGCCAGCTCAGGTTCCACCCAGCACAGGAATTGCCTGAAAAACATTCCAACACAAGCTCCGATCGCGATGGCTGGGCTCCCGGCGAGTGACTCACACCATCGCCATCCCGGCCCTTGATACGGCGCCTTTCGTCCTGCGGGGAGGACAGCCGCGGGGCGCTTCGCGGGGGTTTTGCTCCCGCGGGCGAGGGGTCCTGAAGCGATTACACGCCCGCAGGATCCTACAAAAAACAAGGATTCGGGTTGAAAAGAGCGCTCGCCTCTCGCGAGCGAGGGGACGCGGGTTCGATTCTCGGACAGGATGGGTCGGGGCGAGACCTTAGGCAAGTTTCCTTGCTCCACGCACCTGGCAGTACGTAAGGGGCTGCTTTTTTTGGGGGGGGGTGGGGGAAAACGCTGCCGTGCGCAATTGCTGCCCCGTTTCGCCCGCAAATTATACAAATACAGTCAATTCAGGACACCGCGAAGCCCTTTTGAGAAGTCCCTCGAGACGTGATAAGGTGCTGTACCAAATGCAGGGGGGTCATTGCCGGTTAATTACTGTTCTTATTATTATTATTATTATTTCCCCAGCGTGAGCAAAGGGCACCGCCCCGGCGAGAACGCCGCTGACATCCCCGGAGTGAGGGTGCGGGCTCTGTATGATTACTCCAGCCAGGAACCGGATGAGCTCAGTTTCAAAACAGGTAACGTCACAGCTTCACACGAGCTCGATTCAGGACACGGATAGCCCGACTAAACCACCCCCCCACCCCCCAAATAAGCAGGGATTTCCCCCTCGCCCCCCCCCCCTCCCCTCCGGTAATTCAGGCTCAGGTGTTAAACTCATCAACAGTAACTTATTTACACAGCGCTCTTTACACGGGGACGGTGGAGTGGAGGGGAAGGAGGAAGGGAGGGAGAGAGGTGACCGTAAGCACAGGTGGAAGAGGAAAGTTTTCAGTCGTGATCTAAGAGGGGAAGGAAGGGGGGGGAGGCGGAGGGATTTGGGGTCCAAAGAGTTCCAAAGCTTCGGGCTGTAAATGGCTGAAAGCGTGGCCGCCGATGGTGGAGCGGAGGGGACGAGGGACAAGCGGGAGGCCAGAGCCGGTCGGTAGTGGAGTGGGGGTGTAAGCGGGTCGGAGAGGTAGGGAGGTGCCAGGGCGTGAAGGGACTTGTGGACGGGCGAGAGAGGATCGTGAAATTGATCCGGTCGGCGCACGGGGAGCCCAGCGGAGCCCGGCGAGGACCGGGGCGATGGGGGTGCGGAGTGTAGGGCGGGTTAACATACGGGCGGCAGAGAGTCCAAGCTCGATTTCGTTTGTTCGAACCTTCGCAGGTCAGGAGCTGACGAAGATAGAGGACGAGGATGAACAAGGCTGGTGTAAAGGATACCTGGATGGAGGCAGGGTCGGGCTATATCCAGCAAACTACGTGGAAGTTCTCCTGTAGAAGGCAACACGTTAAAGAAAAGCCATTCGTTCGTTTATACCTTCGAGCGGACTGAATGCTTAACACACCAGGAGAGCGCGAGAGAGAGAGAGAGAGAGAGAGAGAGAGCGAGAGAGAAGTATCGCCTGCCTCTTTCTTTCAAAGACAACCTCATGTAAATTGGAATTATTTTGCTTTTTGCTGCGATGAATAATTTTCATTTCCCGTCAGAAAGCTCAGAGGATTGAACGTTTGAAGTAGGGAGGAGTGGGGGGGGGGGTGGGGGGGCGGGGGGGGGGGGAGGAGCTGATTCACACCAAGGGGTAGGGGGTGGAGGAGAAGAAGTACTCAGGCATTACTGTGTTTGCGTACGTAGTCACTAATTCCCAGTGAAGCGCTTTGAGAAAGACGCATCAATGGTGTAGGCGCTGTGTCAGATGCAAGAATTATTATATTATTATATGTCGCCCGCACACAGTCACTCCACTTTACAGTACACTGCGAAGCACTTTTGAGACGTCTCGACGATGCGGTAAAGCCCCATATCAAACGGAAGGATATTTACATTGTATTTCGCCCACAAGACACACAGTCACTGCACTCGACAGTGTATCCCGTGAAGCGCTTTGAAACGCCTCGAAGACGTGATAAGGCGCTGTATCAAATGCGAGGATTATTATTATTATTATTATTATTATTATTTTCCCCACATTTGCTTTGCGAGCCATTTAAATAGAGTGCTCACTATCGGGAGAGGATGGAGATAGGAGCCAGGAATGTTGTCCATTTACTGCCAGAAAGGGGGACCTCAGAGAGGGGCCGAAACTTTCAAGGTAGCGCAGGACAAGAGGACGAAGGTTCAGGGATGCGAAGGGAAAGTTGAGGAGAGGCACCAGGAAGTATTTCTTTACACACGGGGAGGAATTGACGGCTGGTAAGGTGATAGGAGGAAGCCAGGCTGGTAATCAGAGGCTCAGTTAAGTAACGGCTTGATGGAAGGATGAGGTTAAGTTGGCCAAAAGGCCTTCTTCATCTGGAACGCAAGGGTTTGCGGGAGCGGATTTAATAACAACTTTAAGAGGGAATTGGATAGGTACTTGAAAGGGAAACACTTCCAACGGATACGGGAAGAGGGTGGGGAAGTGGGACGAGTTGGGTAGCACGATGGGGCCGAGTGGCCTCCTTCTGCGCTGCAGGATTCCATGGTCTGAACCTCTCTCTCTCTCTCTCTCTGTTGCTGGGATCAACACTTCAAAGATTAATAATTCCTCGCTCAACTTTCTTCCTCCCTCCCCCCCCCCAAAGAAACCCAAACCTTTTTAAAAAAAAAACCCTACAAACTGCACAGAACTCCAGGAAACGATTACAGTAGTACGTACTCATTGCTCCCCGAGGTCGTTAGCTATTTGCCTTTCCTGCTTCAGGAAACCCCCCACTTCCCACCCCATTAGCCCATCGGGCATTCAGCATCTCCGCCCCCACACTCTGCACCTCGATGGCCTCACCCGAGCTCTTGCCTCCCTTCAAGTCCCATCCAAAGACCTTCCTCTTGAACCGTGCCTTCAGCCACCATCCCACCCCATACCGTCCACCCCTCCTGACCCCAACTCGGGTCCAAACCCCCACACCGACTGTCCAGCGCCCTGGGATGTCTTTCTGACCTGCAGGGTGCTCTACAAGTGCAATCTGTTGTCGTCGTTGCAGATGGAGCTACCACTTCGGGTTAGCTCGACACTAACACATCTCCTGGGGGAAAAGTTCTGGACAGAGACTTCCTAAACGCCCGGAGGTGGCAAATTAGAGCTTCATCTAACGCTTATCTACTCACCTGAAATAAAATCCAGTTGCCTCCTCCCAGTGACGATTCCGTTGCCAGCAGAGGGCTGGTTTGCGAAGCCCATAAAAACATCAAAACTATCTCCTCCGCTCCGTGTGGACTCACGTGACATGAAGTTGAAGTATAGCTTTTCAGTCTTCAAACCCAGAGGGACTGACAGAGTTATTTTTAAATAACACACAGTATATATATAATATATATATGTACACACACATACACACCTTAAAATACAATAAGCAGTGTCTCAAAGGAAATGTATTAACCCAAAAACTGCGATTGTTTAAAAAAAAAGCCATTTCCAAGCCTTGTAAGGATGCGCCGCAAATGCTTTTGAATAAAATACGTGAACAAAAATGCGTCAACCTTTCGAGACGTCTCAACGATGTGATAAGGCGGTGTATTGAATGCAAGGAATAGGGACTGTATATTCTCTCAAAGGTGCTGATCGCTTTTCCGGGGGTAAATAACTCCTTCAAATAAAAAGCAATAACAATGAATTGGTCACTTCGGTTTGTGGGGACGCTGCTGCGCGCAATTGGCTGCCGCCTTTCATCCACAAAATATACAGTCACTTGATCGTGTGTCCTGTGAAGCGCTTTGAGACGTCTCGAAGATGTGATCAGGAGCTGCGTCAAATGCAAGGATTATTATTATTATTAAGAAGAGGAATTAGGACCGTGTATTCCCTCAAAAGGTTCCTGATCAGAGAAAGCTCCTGGCAGGACGTAAACGTAGGAGGGTGTTGAGAGCGATGCCACAGTTTGAAAAATTATGAGAAACGTGGGTTAAGAATAAATTTATTTGCCATCATCTTGAACAGGAGGAACCTCCGCTATACAATGAATAAATCCCACACGTAGGCAGGCGCCGCCCAGGGTAGTGCACAGGCTAAAATTAGTAAAAAGCATTTATTTTCCTGTTAACTGCTGTACAGTGTCTCAATGGGACCAAAGGAAAAGGAAATCCCACACGCACGGACTTTACAAACAGAAGCAAATCTACAAACGAAATGTAAATAAAACTATTTTTACACCCGTATCTAACCGGGCCAGGTTCAGCAAAAGGGGGTGGGGGTTGGGGGGGGGCGGAGGAGGAAGAAAAGGTCTCAGGCTCAGCGGTTACTGGGTGCGCATGTGTGCCTGCGTCTCTGTGTGGGTGTCTGTGTGGGTGTCTGTGTGGGTTATAGGGAAGCGGAGCACCGCGCTACTGACAATCTGACTATGCCGACAAACAATAAGGAGGTACAATAACAGCCTTCTTTTTTCGCTGTCAAATCTCCCACGAGTTCAAAATTTTCCTTCTTTTTTTCCTTTAGAAATTAAAAAGGCTCATGATCGATTCATTTGCTGTTCAGATTCAAATTCAAAAAAAAAATCTCTTATCGCGACGACAGCATTAAAACCTTGCCTTGTCAGGGGGTGGGAGACGGAGGGTGGGCGGGGGGAGGAGAGAGAGATAAGCAAAATGTATGTCCTGGCTGCCAAAATCATAATAATAAAAATATTCGCCAAGGAGAAGCAAGCAGAAATGAGAAATGGCTTTGATTGATGATTGATTGATTGATTGATTGATTGATTGATGGGTGAAGGTATGCCCAGTCTCAGTTTCCTCCCCTTCTCCCCCACTGAAGGAATTGCCTACATATATATATATTTTTTATTTGTTTGATGGTTTCTACTGGATGTCTGCTTCACGGACGCCCTCGTGTCACGTCACACGGAGTGGCTGTTCATCACGTGCGGGTTGAGATGGTCAGTGGGGAGTTCAATCCCTGGGTGATGGATACACACACACACACGTGCGCACGGACACACACCCGCACACACACACAGACACACACGTACACGTTGACACTCACGCGCTCAAGCACGCAAACGCAGACACACACCTTCCAGCAGGTTTTGGTGATGGCGGGGGGGGGGTGGGTGGGGGGGAAGAGAGAGAGGTGTCTTTGGATGATGATCATGAGCGTGGCAGCCAACCCCCTGGCTTTTATTTCCTCCACCCCACACCTCCACCCCACCCGACCCACCGTCTCCCTAACCAAAAAGCACCGAGAGCCAACCCCAGCGCCGCCAACCGCCCGCACCCGACCTCTGATCCCAGTCCCTTAGCACAGAGCGGGGGGAAAAAAAATCGTACCCGCGACCTTGCCCGCTTTGCCTCAGTGCCGCTGACACACCGGCCGGGCAGTGCTGGCCATCGGGTGGGGCGGGGGAGAGGGGGGGTGTGAAGTGGGGGTAGGGGTGAAGCGAGTCGATAAAAGAGTTCAGAAAGAAATCGCAAAAGCGTGGCTAATGTTCCCGCCCCCCCCCCCTCCCCACACACCCACCATCGCCTCGTAAACGGTGACACGGCAGCTTAAGCGGGGACCCTTTTGCTCACCTCGGAACCCAGCCGGCTCCGAGCTCTGGGCTGCCCGCCTCGCCTCGCCCGGCCTGGGTGAGAAACCCGACAGCACGTGAAGCAGCGAGGACGGGAAGCTCCTTATATGAGATCCATGAGAATCTCTTCCTCCAGCAGACTGGAGCCTTGCTGCATACCCCCCTGAGGGACCGGTCCACGAGGGCCTGCGTTCATCATCATCGGGCCTGCAATGTTCGGGCAAAGAGAGGAGACAGAGAGAGAGAGACAGAGAGATAGAGTTTAACATGACAGATAAGCTCCAGAAATCACACCAGCACCCGGCAATCCCTCCTGCGCCTCGCTCCCTCCCCTTCGACCGCACCTTCGGTCACCTCCTGCCCCCGTCCTCCCTCCCTCGCCCCCAACACAATCGCAACCCCCCCACCCCCGGCTCGGGGTGCAAATCCCTGACTGCCCAGTGCCTTGGGACGTCCTCCCGACGCGAAAGGCGAGACTCTCCACAGTAACATTTACCACCGGCACGGGCACGGTGGGCCGAATGGCCTCCTTCTGTGCTCTCACGTTCCATGAACGGTGGCCGGGACTTCACCCCCCACTTGCTCTCTTGCGATCGCCAGGACCGGGATCACGGGAGTCCCTTTACCTGCCAGAGGTGGGCGCTGTGCCATCTGGTTGCCCCAGGGCTGCCCGGGGCCTTGGTGCATGACGTGTTGGCTGGGCATCTGCAGCTGCTGGCCCTGAGGGTGGTGAGGCATCGGCTGACCCATGGACATCATCTGGGAGGCTTGCTGCTGGATGTGGTGCAGTGGCTGTTGAGGCTGCGGCACTCCACTCTGTGACTGAAAGCACACGCACACACACACACAGGTTCAACCACGGCGAAAGGGGGTCCGGGTGGAAATCCGCCATTCCTCAAACCGTCTCAAGACCCTCCCCTTCGACCCCGCCTTGTGCCACCCTCCACCCACCCCCTACCCTGCTCCCAGCGTAGCCTTAGCACCAATTTGTTCACGATAACAACAACGCTGACAACCCTTGCGTGTGAATACAGCACCTCATCGCGTCCCACCCGTGACTTTCATGGGCCGCTGCTGGGGGCGCAATCGGCTGCCGCGCTGCACCCTCCAAAAATACGCCGTCAATAAGGCGACTGAGATTGATAAGGCGCTTAGGGCGAAGGTCAGGGGTTACCACTGCCGCGAGAGTCGGGAGGCGCATGTTACTGACCGTTTGCTGACTGAGGAGGAGGCTGCGGAGTTGGGGGTTGGCCCCAGCGTTGGGTGGACGGAGCAGGGATCCTGGCTGCTGATTGGCTTGTGGCTGGTTGGGAGGTGGGCCTCCGGGTTGCTGCTGCTGCTGCTGTTGTTGTTGCTGTTGTTGTTGTTGCTGCTGCTGCTGCTGCTGCTGCGTTACAGCCTGAGCTCGAAGCTGCAGCTGCTGTTAGGGGCGAAACGCGAAATGTTTTCCTTACGTCAAATCCAGAGAGAGAGAGAGGGAGTGAGGGAGAGAGGGAAAGAGAGAGAGAGAGAGCGAAAGGGAGAGGGGTGGGGGGTGGGGGGTTCATTTCACAACCCACACAGGAAGCTGACGCTATTTACGTGCATGTTTCGCCCATAGACCCCCATCAGAAACGGTCTCTCCGTCCCTTCGAAATGCCCACCCTCCCACCCGCCCGTTCTCCTTAAATGACTCCCATGCCCTGGCTTTTCCAGGGACCCGTTGATTTGTCCTCTGTGTAAAAAGGGTTCGCACTTTCCATCCTAGCCGTGCCCCCGGTCACAGCCCTGCCTCTGTGGCTCGCTGACTTGGGGACAAGTCGGGTAACACGGGAGCAGCACTCACACACCACACACACACACAGAAACACACTCACTAGATTCTGCTGTCGCTGGTCATCCATGGTAGTCACTGTGTGAACTTGTGGCATTGAGGTTGACACTTGTGGACCTTGTACCTGGTAATGGTGGTGGGGGGGGGGGGAGGGGGTGTGGGTGGGGGAAGAGTTATTTAACAGTGTTATCTGACAATGATTCATTTGCACACTCCCACCTCCCACCGAGCGTTGAGGCCAAGACAGAACACGTCACGTTGACCCCCGAGTATACCAGGATACCATTTCACTCCAGCCTCCGCTGCCACAACAAGAAGCGGCCACCGGTGGCAGAACGGAGGGCCCCGAGGGACATGCAGGAGGCCGGAGCCAGTCGAGCGGAAGGCAGTGGGTAGTGAGCTCGGGGTGGGGGGAAGGTCGGAGAGGTATGAAGGGATTTGAAAAACGAGGGTGAGGATCTTGAATTCGACCCGCTCAGTGATGGGGGGGCCCAGTGTGGTGGAGCCTGTGTGATGGTGGTACGGAGTTTAATGCGTGTGAGTATGAGTCGAACAGGTAGCCCCCCTTACCTGCTGGGGCTGCACTCCCTGAGACACCAGCATTGGTCCCGGCTGCTTCTGCATAAAGCCCTGGTTCGGTAGAGACGAGTTGCCCATCGGTTGTGTGTTGCCCAGCTGCTGCTGGAACAGACAAAGACAACACCCACGTCAAGGTTAATTTCACTGGAAAGTCACCCAAGTGAGAAGTTGGGGATTTAAGCAAATGCACCCAGGATAAGATTGTCTTATTCCTGTCGAGAGGGAGACCTTCAACATTGAGAACAAAGGGCAGTTGAACCGGATCAATAGATAATAATAATAATAATAATCCTTGCATTGATGCAGGGTCTGATCACGGTCTTCGAGATGTCTCAAAGCGCTTCACAGTAGCTGTAAAGTGAATTGGTTGTGTCATTCTGTGGGAGAAGCTTGGCAGCCAATACGCTCGGAAAGTGATCCGCCCGTCGACTAACAACCTGGTCCCAACCTGGTTCCTATGCCCTGCCCGGGGAATCGAACCCGGGTCCCCCTCGCTTGCGAGGCGAGTGCGCTAACCACGAGGCTGCGGAACAGGGGCAAGGCAGGGCAGTAGGATTGTATGGACAGCATGGGGTGAGAGTCAGGACAGACTCTCTTGTGGGGGGGGGGGAGGGAACAACAACAACAACTTGTATTTATAAAGCACCCCTAATGGAGGCAGCGTCCCAGAGGGCCTATCAGCCAACCAGCCAGGGATACTGAAGCGAATACGTTACGTTTCTCTGCTGCTCGATCTTCTGCTGTTGCGCCTTCTTGTGGTTGGTGATGACCATCCTGATGCCGTTGACGAAGCCGCTCTGGTCGTTGGGGATCAAACCCATGAAGATCTTCTTCTTGGAGGAGTAGAGGAGCATGAGCACCCGCACCTCACAGGGTGCGCTGTGGGGGAAATGCACACAACCCGCCTGGAGAGACGACGACAACCACAACGACAGCTTACAATTTGTATGGCGCCTTATCGCATCGTCGAGACATCTCAAAGCGCTTCCACAGAATATATAACTGTAAAGCGAGATTGTCTACTTATAGCTCCTTTCACCCAAGTCGGGAGGACGTGCCAAGGCACTGGGCAGTCAGGGATTTGGACCCGAGCTGGGGCTTGGGATCGGGCTGGGGGGGGGTCGGTGGAGAGCAGGGAGGGTAGGGGTGAATGAAATGTACACTCACTTCTCTCTCTCCCCTTCCCCAGGGGACGTACCCTAATCACCTAATTCCGAGAGCATTAGGCGCGAGAGCCAAGGCTTGGGGACCCCATGTTGGGAAAACTGCTGGAGTCTAACCAGCTCTAACCGCATAGCTTGCCATTGAGAGCATTGCCTGGCAAGCTTCCCGTTGCTTGTCCAGCAAAAAAAATAACAATTACACACACACACACACACCCCATGAAAATCCTCTGTAAAAAGCCTCATTAAAATAGCTCAACAGTTTCCTTCGCGCTCGAAGGAGGTTTGTCCAGCGTCTTGGGCCGTCCTCCTGACGTGAAAGGCGTTATTCAAAAATAATGTGTTATTGTTGTCGATGCCTTTGTTCCCTATCCACTGAGGTACAGTCCACACACACACACACACACACACACACACGTCCAAACCAGAGGAGAGACGAGGAGACTTTTTTTTTTGTTACGGTCTGAAACGCTCTGCCTGAAAGGCTGATGGAAAAAGATTCAATAACAGCTTTCAAAAGGAATTGGAGAGGGACTTGAAAAGGAAACTTTTGCAGGGATAATGGGGAAAGAGTGGGGGGGGGGAGGGAGATCGGACTGATTGGTTAGCTCTTCCAAGAAGCCGGCACAGACACGATTGGGCTGAATGGCCTCCTGATTCTATGACCTTGCCGCATACTCTCTTCTCCCAGTTAACAACGTGAGGGGTTTGCGACACTCCAGTGTCGGCTTTGCCTCTCCCTGCCCAGAACACGCTCAGACACCAACAAGTGCAAACGGTTATTAATGTACGCCCGTAAGCTGTTTGCGCTTGTTGGCGAGTCCAATACTAGAGGGCACAAGTACAAGACGACCACAAATAGATGTAAGCGGGAGATCAGGAGGGAACCTTTCCACACAGAGGGTGGTGAAGATGCCGTTGAAGTAAAAAGAAGCATCAATATATTCAAGCGAAAACCAGGAGAAGAGAATGGTAGAGAAGGGAACGCAACAAGTGAGTGGGACGGATGAAATGGAGGGGAGTGTAAAGACCAGAGTGGACGAGTTGGAGTGAATGGCCTGGTTCCAGGCTGCGTCACTCTACGCATGTCTATATGCAACACAAATTTACATTTATATACAGCGTCATTCAGGTCGATTTAATCTGGTTTCCCCCAGCGATACAATAGTGGCCCCAGGTTCGAGTGAGATACTTACAAAGCCGTTGGCCATGATCCGATACAATCCCTTCAACGACTCCAAATCCTTGTTTGTAAATTGGAACTGAACCATCCGTGAATTCCTGAACAGATGTCCGAGGGTGGTCTGGGCAGGGAGAAGCAAAGCTATCACTGCAATGTCCCAAACCCCTCGTGTTTATCGGCAACAACCACAACAACAGGTAACATTTACACGGCGCCTTTTGCGTCCCAAAGCACTGGGGAGTCAGGGATTTGGACCCAAGCTGGGGGTTTGGGATCAGAAGGGGTGGAGGAGGGTAGGGTAGGGGAGTGACCAAAGGAGCAGTCAAAGAGGAGTGTGTTGAGACGGGCCTTGAAGGAGGCCAGGGATGGAGACGAGGTGAAGGGATTGTGGGATGGAGTTTCAAAGGGTTGGTGGTCAACATTCATCACAAACCGTTGGCCTCAGTCTAGACACGTCTACACACAGCAGAGGCAAGCCAAAGCAACCCTGACATACTCTGTCCTTTAGACACTCTGCGTGTGAAAAGGTCTGTTTAACGTAGTCACGCCATCTGTGATCTGTGTGTGTGTGTGAACAGGTCTGGTCTTGACTGAAGGGGAATTTGAAAACTAAACACAAGAGCTCCAGGTTTGGGAACTGGTTTATTTTTAAAATTACGTAACTAAAACATCCGCTTTCCAGGCCAACTCCTCCCAACCTCCTCCCAGTTTCTAACCTCCGTTTTAGGTCAGGTTGGGACGCGTTAACCCGTCGAGTTACCTTGCACACCGGGGTTAAGAGTCAATAAAAACGGCAACTTGCATTTATACCGCGTGCTTCACACGGGATAGCGTTTCGGAGTTACTTACTAGGAGCTGCTGTGGAATGAGTTGCATGATAAGTTTCTGAGGCCACTGGTCTGTCTTTCTGTAGAAGAAAATAACCATCATTTTTATACCAGGCTGAAACAGAAAAAACACCGGACTTCAGAAGTGGGGAGGAGAGAAGGGTAGTCGGGGAGGAGGAGGAGGAGAAGAGGGGAGAGAAGAGCAGAGGATTAAAACAGAAGCACCGTTGCTGACCGCTCATACTCACAGGTTCTCTCCTGGATTCACGTACACTTGGCATGGAAGGGACCGGGTCAGCTTTGCGTTTAAATCTACTGACGCAGGTTTGGGTTTCTAGCGGGAGAGAGAGAGGAGAGAGAGAGAGAGGGGGGGAGCGAGAGAGAGGGAGAAAAAAAATAATCGGTATAACATCAACAACTTGGATTAAAACCTACGAGGATTATTATTGTGAAGACCCGCACTGGTAGAAAAGGCTGCCACCCGAGTAAGTTAGTGCTGGAGCGACATCTGGTGGCTGCAGATACCGTACACACTGATTGGAAACAAAGCGCTTAGCAGGACACACCGTAAAGTGGAGTGGTGCGTGAAGTGCGGCAGCAATAACAACAACAACAACAACAACATTACGTACGTATCGCGCCTTTCACGTCGGGAGGACGTCGCGAGGTGCTGGACAGACAGGGTTTCGGACCCGAGCTGACCACACACACCCACACCCACGCACCAGCGCACAGCAGTGTCCCGCAGACAGTCGTGGAACTTTATTGCTGTCCAGGACACAGAGAGAGAGAGAGAGAGAGAGAGAGAGAGAGAGAGAGAGAAACACCCTTCTCTTTCCGAATAAGTGCCACACGGGTTTAACATCCACCTGAACAGGTAGACAGGGTTTGAATGCCTCGGTCTTAACGTCTCATCCGAAGGACGGCACCTCCTACAATGCAGTCCCTCCCCCCCCACCAGCCAGAGCTGCATTCGAACGTGATCTTAGACGATGTGATTCCAAGTCCTGACTGAATGTGTGGGGGGAGGGAGGGGGGGGGGGGGAGAGAAAAAGGGGGCTTGAACCCACAAGCTTCTGACTCAAGAGGCGAGAGTGCTACCGCCTGAGCCAGGCCCGGTACCGGAACAGACACAAAAGCATTTGACGGTCTCACCTCCTGCCACTCCAGAACTCCGCTCCAGGCGAGGATCTTATTGGCGACTGAGCCGGGGGGCGCGACCACAGCGCCCACGTTACCCCCGCCTCCGCCAACCCCCAGCTGCCGCCGAACAGGGTCGAACATGGGAAAGAAACCGCTTTAGTTAATAATAGCAATAATAATAATAATAATAATCCTTTGCATTTGATGCAGCGCCTGATCGCCACGTGTCCTGAGGCGTCTCAAAGCGCTTCGCAGGACACGCTGCGACGTGAAACGATAACGTGAAGCGAAACGCACGCGCACAGGGAGGTTGAGGGAAGAGTGCGCAACGGGGAAGAGAGAAAGCGAGAGAGAGAGACACACACACACACACACACAGAGTGAGAGAGGGAACAGAGAACAGACAGACCGACAGAGGGAGACATATACAGGCAGTACGTGGGAGAGAGAGAGAGACACATGGGAGACACGCAGGATTATTACCCACCATAGGCGGCTGGTTTGGCTGCTGGTTCGGCTGTTGCGGCGCCTGCTGGGGTGGCTGCTGCGGTAATAGTACCCCTGCTGGGGTGGTAACCGTGGATACGAGGCTGGGGGGAGTGGGGGTCATCAGGGAGTTGGTGGTGGTGGGGAGCTTGGGCAGGCTGGGCACCGAGGCGGGGTTGAAGATCGCGCCCACGCTGGCTGCAGGGGGGATCTGGCTGCTCACAGTGACTGCGACGAAGGAAAAGAGGGTGAAAACCAGCTCCCACCATCATCATCATCATCATCATCATCATCAACACCAACCCCCAACATTTATATCGCGACCTCCATGTTGACGACAATCCTTGCCTTTGACCGCAGCGCCTTCCCACGTCGACTCACTCCTGCGAAGCGCTTTGAGACGTCTCAACGACGTGACAAGGCACTGTATCGAAGGCGAGGATTGTTATTCTTATTCTATTATTATTATATTTCGGCCACAGGCCTCTCGTTTCGCCCACGAAAACACGCAGTCGGTCCGCTTTACGGCGCATCCCGTGAAGCGCGCTGCGTGAGACTTCTGCCCGCACCACAAAGCCAACAGCAGCCGCGCTAGTCAGGGCCACCCCCCACCCACGCACCCGCGCCCCCCGTTTGCAGCTTACAGCGATTGTTGGAGGAGACGGGGGCCGACTTCAGTTGATTGGAGGCAGTTTCTACGGCGATCTGGGCTGCGGCCTGAGCCGCCGCCAGGGACCCCGAGGTGGGTGGGCCCTGCGAACAAACCGCGACAAAACAATCACCCACCTCAGCCGCGGGACGAGGAGGCAGCAGCGACAACGTGACATTTGCACAGCGCATCTCACGGTCGGGAGGACGTTCCCCAGGCGCTCAGGGATAGTCGGGGCATTCGGAACGACCACCACAAGCGAAGCGACGTATTACCGGGTAAGTCTGAGAGACCAAAGGGACGTTCTGGGGCTGGGGGGTGGGCTGTGCCTGGGAGAGCGGGGGCTGGACTTGCGTCTGCAGCACGCTGGGTTGTTGTGCTGGTGGCTGGGGCTGCGTTGGAGCCGGTTTCTGCGGAAGGCTGCTGCTGGTGACTGTTCCTCCACCTGAAAGATCACAGAGAAAGGTCGAGAGACAAACAGCGCCGGTGATTATTATTATTATTATTGACGTCTTCGAAATGTCTGAAAGCGCTTCACTGGATTGCAGAGAACACCGTCGCTCTGTGGGAACTGTGAATAATAACAACAATCCTTGCATTCGATACAGCGCCTTATCACGTCTTCGAGACGTCTCAAAGCGCTTCACAGGATAGACCGTTTGTGCTCAGTTGGCTGCCGCGTTTCACCCACAATATATGCAGTCGATTGACTTTTACAGTATATCCTGCGAGGCGCTTTGAAGACGTGATACGGTGCTATATAAAATGCAAGGATTGTTATTGTTGGCGTTATAGCTGTGGCCGTGGGTGGGGTGTACCAAGACGTGGGTTTACCTGGAAGCACCATGCCTCGGATCATTATCATGTGCCGCGGGTCCTGACTGTATTCCTTCAGCTGAGTCTCCACCACACCGTTCATCGCCGCTTTCTCAAACAGCACCCGTAAGGCTGGCAGCTTGCGGGGAGACACCACGGAGAAAAGGATGCCTCGCTGTACGGAGAACACAAAATAGTGCAACTCAACACTGCCGTCGCCACAAAACGAGAGTCACCACGGGATGAACACAGAACGCCCGTCCCAAAATAATAGTAATAATAATCCTTGCATTTGATATAGCGCCTTCTAGATGTCTCAAAGCGCTGCGCAGGATACGCTGTAGAGTGTTGACTGTGTATTTTGCGGGTAAAACGCGGCAGCCAAAATTGTTGATCGACACCGCTGGCTGGGGGTGGGAGCTGAAGGGGGGTGGGGGAGAAGAGAGATGACCAAAAGCTCAGTCAAAGAGGTACGTCTTGAGACTGACCGTGAACGAGGGAATTTTGGTTTTCTTTGCGGGCGAACACTAATCGACTTACGACCGCATTTCCTGCTCACTTACTGCTGGGTGAACCGAGGCCCGTGGAGTAAGGAAACAAGTTCTGCTCAAGCCCGGGAATAGAACCCTGAAGCAAGGTGAGCGCTCTAACCACTGAGCTTACAGGCTCCATAGAGATAGGGCGAGGCAAGGCCGTGGAGGGATTTGAAAGTGAAAACAAAGTGCCAGCTCCTGCGCCGCTCTCGCATGAATTGCCCGCTCTTTCCTGATGCCCTTTTATATTGTTCCTCTTCAAACGCTTTAACACGATCGCTGTTAAAAAGTAGCTACGGTCTTAGCTTAGCGTCAAAAGCCACCCGTGTCCTGATCGTAGTAAGTACACTCACGTCACCGATCATCTGTACCAGGTTGTCTGTGGTGAAGCCGGAATAGGTGGTGCTTTCCACAGCGGGGAGGAGATAGGGCGGGGAGTTACAGATCAGAACGCACACTTTGTGTGTCTGCCCACTGCAACCAGAAGAGAAATCGAGGAGAAAGAAGCATTAAGGTCTATACCGAGCTGCGTTCCTAACTGAGCACCTGACTCAGGTGGTTGGTCTAACACCGTCAGGTGGCTCCAGTGCGTTGAATCACAAGTCACTTCAAACTTGCCCAGGACAGCAGTAGAGGACATGGGGCAGGTACACATCACTGCATGTCACACCGTACACATCAGTGATTTTTATTAACTGACTGATTGACTGATTAATGCCCGCATTGAAACGGCCCTGGTTATGTCAGGGTTAGGGTCCGCGAAGAGTGGATAAGAGCAATGGCAAGCAGGGCTCTAATTGGCCTCAGTAATCCTGGGCTACGGAAGAGAAACTCAGCCAAGAAACCTGCTCCTAGTTGCTATCCAGTTCCCCACTCCCACCCTCACTATACCTGTCATCCCCCGCTAAGACCTTAGTTAATCTCTGATGTACTATGTCAACACGTTCTTTCCTTTCAACAACAACTTGCATTTATATAGCGCCCTTCGTGCCGGACGGCATCACGCGGAGGTGGTGTGATAACCTCTGTGATAACAATGACTAAATTATTAGGATTATTATCTTCTCTTACATCTGTTCCCGCATTTTCTTGAAGTCGTCGAACAGCTGCAGTGCAGTGCTGAGCCCCTCTGCAATCAGACTGCAGCTCTCCCCTCCGCCGCCCATAAACCTGTGGGGAGAACAACAAGAGGTCCCTTACACGCATTGTCAGAGGCTGGTACCAACACAAGTCACGTGCAAGTTTAGACTGACATGGCACCCGAGACAGATTTCCACAGCAAATTGCACCGACTACGGTTGACATTCTCCCCTTGTAATATATATATAATATTTATGTAATAATTCTTGCATTTGATACAGCGCCTTAACACGTCGAGACGTCTCAAAGAGCTTCACAGATTATATGGTAAACTGAACTGACTGTATATTTTGTAGACGAAACGTGGCAGTTAATTGCGCACAGCAGTGTCCCACAAACAGTCATAAAACAATCGACGAATAACCGGGTTCCTACTTACTACTCGGTAAATAGAGGCGTGTGGAGTGAGGAAACCTGCCGAAGGTTTCGCCCTGCCCGGGAATCACACCCGGGTCCACTCGCTTGCGAGGCGAGCGCTCTATCCACTGCGCAACAGGCCTCCACAGTGTAATCTAAACAGTTGTAAAAACGGCTATGAATGGAGCAAAAGAAATTCCATCGCTTTACTTACTGAATGCTGTCCAGCCAGGTGACAAACTCATAAGCACTGCTGGTGGGCGCGTGACACTGTACATAGGATTCCGGGGCGCAGTCCACAGTGTTGAACACGACCAAACTGTACTGAGTGCCTCCATACTGCAGGACGATCAAAGGCATGAAATGTATCACTAGGACTGTGCGTGTAATAACAATAATCCTTGCGTTTGATATAGTGTCTTATTACATTGTTGAGACGTCGCAAAGTGCTTCACGTAATATATTGTAAAGACTGGGTATTTTGGGGAGGAAACCCGACAGCCAATTGTGCATAGCAGTGTCCCACAAAACAGTCGTGGATTGAGTGACCAAATTATTATTGTATTTTGGAAGGATTAATACCCCTGGAAAGCGATCCACCAATGGACTACTTACTGTTGGGTAAACAAGAGGCGCGTGGATTAAGTAAACTCGCCTAAGGTTCCAGATTTCCACTACCCTTTGCGTGTGAAAAAATGCTTCTGGATTTCACTCCTAAATGGCCTGGTCTCATTTTAAGATTATGGCCCCTATTCTCTCTTTTCTTTGGCTCAGTGGAATTGCTGATAATAATAATAATAATCCTTGCATTTGATATAGCACTTTTCACGTCAGGAGGACGTCCCAAAGCGCTTCACAGAACACACTGTAAAGTGAATTGACTGTATATTTGTGGGCGAACGCGGCGGCCAATTGCGCACAGCAATGTCCCACAAACAGTCGTAGATTGAAAATGACCAATTTATTATTGTTTTGGGTTTTGGAGGGATTATTATTAGGCTCTGTGTGGAGTAAGGAAACTTGCCCAAGGTTTCGCCCTCTGCCTGGAATTGAACTCAGGTCTCTCACTTGCAAAGCGAGTGCTCTAACCACTGAGCTACAGGACTCCATTAAATACATGGGGAAGCAACGCAATTGTAATTTTTATTTGTTTTTAAAATTTGAACCCTGGATTTAGACGTGGCACATTGAATTGCACATTGAAACAGCTCCGTCTTCAACCGAGAACGAGAAAGGAAAGAACCACAACACGTTGACTTACATCACCCCCAAAGTCAGTCTCTGCCGGAGGCCCACCATTAAAATACCTGCAATACATACACAGGAGATTTCAGAATGATAACAATGCTTGCATTTGATATAGCATCTTGACACGGCGCTGAGGCATCCCGAAAGTGAACCGATTGTATATTTTGTGAATAAAACGCTGCAGCCAATTGCACACAGCAGCGCGTCCCACAAACAGGCGTGACTTGAGTGAACAATCCATCCACATCAGTGGATCCACATTGAAACTTTGAATGGAATATACATATACATATACAATAATAATCCTTGCATTTGATATAGCGCCTTATCACGTCTTCTCGACGTCTCAAAGTGAACCGACTGTATATTTGTGGGCGAACGCGGCGGCCGATTGCGCACAGCAGCGTCTGTCCCACAAACCGCTGTGGATTGAAAGTGACCAATTTATTATTGTTTGGTTTTTTTGGGGGAGGGATTACTATCAGGCTCTGCGTGGAGTCAGGAAACTTGCCCAAGGTCTCTCCCTCTGCCGGGAATCGAACCCGGGTCTCTCTCGCTTGCGAAGCGAGCGCTCTAACCACTGAGCTACAGGACTCCGCAATGTAGTGTATATATAGATACGTAGACACACCCGCGCGCGCACAATATATGGCAGGTGTGTAGATCAGGCGGTCAGACTTACTCAATAGCGGGAAGGATGTAATGTTTCCGCAGAGATTCGAAGTAGGGTCCCAGGTTGGCCGTCCCCTCGATAACGAAAACCACGTCCGCCACCATGCCGGGAGGAGAGGGCTTGTCGATGGGGGACACCACCATCGTGTCTGCGAGTCACTGCGAAACCTTCCCTCTCGCTCCGAGCGGGCTGAGAGAGGGGGGGGGGAGGAAAAAATCCGCACCATTGCCGATCGGTTCGGATTTGCTTCCGGTCAGCCGGGTGTTTCCGACCCCGGGCGGGACACCCGGCACCGTGAGCTTAAGAGCGGAGTCCGAACCCGGCCGAGATGTTTCCCCGCATTCCCGTCCCGCGCGTGGAAATTCCCGGAGGTGGATGGTTGGTATGGAATGCGCTCCCTCTCTCTCTTCCCCCTCCCCGGAGGGACGCCCCCCCCGCCCCGAACCCCACCCCACCGCCGCTTACTTAATTCCGCAGAGGATTAGGCGCAGGTGGGCGAGAGCCAAGGCTTTGGGGGAGCCCAGAGTGTGGAGGGTCACAGGAGGGAGTAGCGATGGTGACCAGAGGGGGGAGTGATGGTAACCAGAGGGGGTAGTGATGGTAACCAGAGGGGGGGGGGGGGAGTAGTGAAGGTAACCAGAGGGGGGGGGGGGAGTAGTGATGGTAACCAGAGGGGGGAGTAGTGATGGTAACCAGAGGGGGGAGTAGTGATGGTAACCAGAGGGGGAGTAGTGATGGTAACCAGAGGGGGAGTAGTGATGGTAACCAGAGGGGGGAGTAGTGATGGTAACCAGAGGGGGGAGTAGTGATGGTAACCAGAGGGGGAGTAGTGATGGTAACCAGAGGGAGTAGTGATGGTAACCAGAGGGGGAGTAGTGATGGTAACCAGAGGGGGAGTAGTGATGGTAACCAGAGGGAGTAGTGATGGTAACCAGAGGGGGAGTAGTGATGGTAACCAGAGGGGGAGTAGTGACGGTAACCAGAGGGGGGAGTAGTGACGGTAACCAGTGTGGAGGGGTGTGTGTGTGGTTAGTGATGGTAACCAGAGGGGTAGGGGGTTGGTAACCAGGCAGTCACCATGGTAACGGGGTGGTGGGTAGGGCGAGTGTCTAACAGGAAGGAGCCCGAGCGGGAAGGGGAGGAAGAGTAACCCACCTGAGCGGCGTGGTGAAGCGTCTCGGCATGGCGGGGCTTCGCGGGGTCGGGGACAGGGCCTTCCTGACTACCAGCCGCTGCTCCTCCTCAGCTCCAGCCACCGCCAAGGCCCCGCGCTCGCCTCCTGACCCTTCACCTCCCGCCCCCCCCCCACATCACATGACCCGGGAAGCAGCCCGGCCTCGCCGCCCCGGTCACGTGCCCCGCCCCCCCTCTCTCTCGCTCACACACACACGCACACACGGCCTTCGCGAGGCGCTCGCTTCGTCACGTGACGCGAGAGCAGCCCGGCTTCAACCCCCTCCCCCCCCTCCCCGACCACCAACCGACCCCGAAGTCACGTGTCGCTCCGTCACACACGCACTCGCACGCTAACTCCGCCTCCTTCCTCTCCCCTCCCCGCGTCACATGACACGGAAGCATCCCGGCTTCACCTAAGCCCCGCCCGCGGGCGTCACGTGCGCGTCACGTGGCTGGTGACGCGCCGCCTCCCCTTCAGAGCAGATAGAGTGGTTTCAGGTGACGTCATCGCCCCCCTCCCCTCCCCCCCCCTCTGTGGTGCACAGAGGCAATCACTGCATTCATTGCCATAATAACAATAATAACAATAATAATAAATAATAACACTTCCGTTTGATATTCTGCACTTGATATAATAATCCCTGCACTCGTTCTCCAATAATGCATTCATTTGATATTGTTATAATAATAATCCACTTATTTGATATTATAACAATAATAATCCTTTTATTTGATATTATTATAATAAACCTTTTGTTTGATGTTATTATAATAACAATCCTTTTGTTTGATATTATAATAATCGTTTTATTTGATATTATAACAATAATAATCCTTTTATTTGATAATAATAATCATTTTATTTGATATAATAATCCTTTTATTTGATATTATTATAATACTTTTATTTGATATTATTATAATAATAATCCTTTTATTTGATATGATAATAATCCTTTGATTTGATATTATAATTATTGTATTTGACATTATAATAATCCTTTATTTGTCATTATAATAATAATCCTTTTATTTGATATCATAATAATAATCCTTTGATTTGACATTATTATAATAATTATTGTATTTGATATTGTTATAAAAATCCTTGCTTTTGATATCGTGCATTTGATATAATAATCCTGGCATCTTATCAATATAATAATCCTTGCAGTTGACGCAATAATAACGACCGATCCTTGCATTCATAATATAATAATGATAATCCTTGCATTATAGACAGCACCTTGTCACATTTTCGAGAAGCCTCAAAGCGCTTTGCAGGATACACCGTAAAGTGTAGTGACTGTATATATTGTGTGGGCGAGACGCGCCCATCCACGTCCCCACAAACAGCCGTGGAGTGAGCGGCCGATTTTATCTGAGGGGGTCGTTGGCCAGGACACCAGGAGAGAGAGGGAGAGAGAGAGAGAGAGAAACTCTTTTCGAATCGTGCCGTGGAATCTTCACCGTCCACCCGAACCAACCGTAGACCTCGGTTTAACGTCTCATCCGAAGAAGGACCCGCACCTCCGACAGAGCAGAGATCCCCGAACGAAGCGCATTGGGGTGTCAGCCCCGGCTATGAATTCACAGTCCCTTCCGACTGGACCCGGCCGACGCGGCGTCTACCGACCTATATGGAGTGATGCTCTCCGTCAACACGAGAAACACGCGTTTCTGCGGCATCTTACGACACCGAAACGTTTCAAATGCTTCAAAGTTTGCAGGGAATTAATGTCAGGAGCAGCAGCTGCTGTGATAGGCAAACGTGGCAGGCGTTTGAGCCAGGAGTGATCCTGCACAGTCACGAGGTGAAAGCCTAATTTATCTGGAGGACTGTTGGCACGGACACAAGGAGAAATTCCTTCCCAAAATAGCGTCAGGGGACGTTTGATGTCTGCAGGCAGAGGCGTCTAAACGTTAGCACATACCACCCTCCTGTAGCACTGGTTTTGTGCGTTGCATTGGAACATCAGCGTAAAACATCAGCAAAATGCCCCCAACTTTGATCAGGGGCTTGAACCCGCAATCTTCTGCCCCAGAGGCTAACTGAGCCAGGCTGCCACGTCCTGGAAACTTGCAAATGCAATGCAAACTCACCAGCCGCGGTTATTATTATCATCATTATCACTATCATTATTACCATTAATAATCCTTGCGTTTAAAATGGCGCCTCGTCGCGTCTCCCGAGACGTCTCAAAGCGCTTCACAGGATCGACCGTCCTGGCGAAGCTGACGGGTGCAATTCGTGGGCGAAAACCCAGCAACCGATTGCCCACAGCAGCGTCTCCGCACAAATAATAATAACCATAATAATAATTCATTTATTGCCCTCGGAAAGCCAATCAACTTAACAACCGGGTTCCTGCCGGCTGCTCGGCAATCGAGAGGCGCGTGGAGCAAGGAAACGTGCCTAAGGTTTCGCCCTGCCCGCCCGGGAATCCAACCTGTTGAAGCAAGTACACTGTATTCCGCACCCTCCCGCAAGCCAGCGTCCTCTCCTGAAGCATCAAAGTCTTTAAGAGCAAACTCGACGCTGGGAGGGACGAGAGGGACGGGGAAATAGAAGGGTATTCAAAGAGTATTCGGTTGCTCAGAGACCAAACCTCTCGCTCGGAGCTTGCGGGCGGATTTTGGGTTAGAGGGAGGCGATCGATCGGTTCATGAAGCGTCCGCAATGTCGACGAATGATGATAATAATGATAATAATAATACTTCTCGCATTTGACATAGCGCCTCACCACGTCATCGCTCTCTCTCTCGCACACACACACACTCTCTCTCTCTCTCGCACGCACGCACACACGCACACGACGGCAGATTAAACCCCATCCCGTCAAAGCAATTCTCAAGAGGACACACGTTGGAATCATTTCTTTTCGTCATTTAAAACACAAAAGAGGTTAAACTTTTTTTTTTTTAGAAAAAAAAAACAAAATACAGAGAAAGACAACAGTCGGCTTTTGACTGTGTGTACACGGGAGTTTACAACGCGGTTTTACATCATTTGCAAAGGAGGAAGGGTGGGTGGGGGTGGGTGGGTGGGTGGGTGGGTGGGGGGGGGGGCGCGGAGGTGGAGAGGAGGGGGATGGAGGGATGGGGGAAGAAGGGAGGAGGAGAGAGGAACGGAGGGAGGGAGGGAGGGAGGGGAACGAGGGAGAGGGGAAAGAACGTAAAAGAAAAAAAAAAATGTTTCCAGGACACTATTATTATTAAACAATTAAAAATATATAATATATATAACATCAATACAGAAACACAAATCAGAAACAGGAACAATACCTTTCAGGCGGTTAACATCGTACGAGTAAAACACGGCTTAAAAAAGGCTCAATAATAAGTAGTACATAAAAAGGGGAGAGAGGAGGAGAGGGGGGGGGAGAGGGGAGAGGGGGGTGGGGGGGGGTGTGAAAACGTTACAGATTTTTTTTTTAAAAAGGCAGCTTACGACAAAATAATTATCACAGACGTGGCTGTGGGTTTAGTAGCGGGTTGTGGGGGGGTTTCTTGATGGGGGAGTTTGGGGAGGGGGGTGGGGGGGTTCGGTGGGGGGGTGCGGGGTGGGGAGTGGGGGGGAAAGGAGCGCTGCTTCTTAAATGGAGCTCAAGTGGATCGCCATCGTGGCCAACGTCTCCGTGCGTTCCCGCAGCCCACGGGAGGTTCGCCTCTGCCTTCTCCGCGCCCCCACCTCCTCTTCCCTCTCCTTCCCTTCCTCCCCTTACCTCTCCCCCCCCCCACCCACTCTCTCCCCTTTTCCTCCCTCTCCCTCCTTTCCCCCCTTCTCAAGCTCCTCAAGTCCTACCCCGAGGCGGTGGGGCGTTCCCCCCCCACCCCCCGAACGGCTCTTCGAACCGAATGCCGCGTTTCTCGGTCGGAGCGGGAACGAAGCAACGTCGCGAGCGTCGGCCCAACCCAAGGCCGCGTTTCGCACCGCTTTCCCGGGAAGGGGACGGGGGGACGGGACGGGGAAACCCTCGGGAAGAGGGTGCGCGGGAGAGGGTCAGTCTAAAGCGCCAAAGATCCCCGTTTGCCCCCACGGGCTCTCGCCAACTGCCGAGTTGCTAATATCTCACGTCCTGCCAACACAGGGTTACAATGGGCATGAGAGAGAGAGAGAGGGAGAGAGAGACGGAAAGAGAGATGGCAGAGTAGGAAAAGAAGTAAGATTTGGGGGGGCTGTTTTATTGGGGGGTGGGGGGTGGGTGGGGGGTGCCCTACACCTACAGAAACCCAATAAAGGACCCTCGCATTTGACACAGCGCCCGATGGCGTCATCGAGACGCGGATTGAGTGACCAATTAATCGTTATTATTTTTCTGGAAGGGATTATTGTCCTCTCTCCCTCTCCTCCACCCCCCCCCACCTCCGCGCACCCCGCCCCGCCCCACCCCGCCCCGCGAAGCGATCGGCCGATCGCCTGACGGCTGCTGGGACAGATAGAAGCGTGTGCGCCCGCGTGGAGCGAGGAAACGCGGCCCGTCCCGCCCCGGGATCGAACCCGGGTCCTCCTGACCGCTGAGCTGCGGGGACTACCCAACAGCGGGGCATCGGAGCCTCGACTGACGAGAGTGTTGGGCGATCGCCAACGCCAACCGCGGCTGCTGACGCGCAACCGGGTTCGTGCGAGGCGTGTTGGGTCGGGGTCGGGACTGAGCACAGGTAGCGAGGACCGCAGACCCTTTGATTGTCGAGCGACCCTTTAAGGGGGGGGTGGGATGGGGTGGGTGGGGTGGGGAGAAGGAGAGGGGGAAGGAGGGAGAAATGGATGGAAGGAGGTGAGGGAGCCTTGTGAGATCAGGTCGGAAGCCCCTAGAGAGGGGCCGGGGGCCGGGGGCCGGGTTGGTGGTGGGGGGGGATTCAAAAGGACGTCAAAAAAAACAGATATTGTCAGTTTTGTCGCTAAGACGTTAATAAGTGTGAGTCATTATTAATAAAAAAACACCCCGCCCGCCCCAATCCAACCCCACCCCAAGTACCTCCCACCCAAGTCCTCCTCTGCTCAGTTTGCTTTGTGAATCTGGTTTCAAAATCCCCGGGGGAGGTGGGGGGGGGGAGAGGGGGGGGGGGGGGGAGTTAAAAGAAAAAAGTGCTGTAGATTTTATCTTAACGTATCATAAACTGCCCCGTCCACCCGAAGGGATTGTAGTGTT